TGTTATGATTATCTGTGTATGTCTTATCTATTAAGTAGTATTAGTATATGCTCTCAAGTACTAACGTAATAATACTATACTTCCAGGAAATGGCTGGCGCTATTTCCATGGAAGTTATTACATTAGTACTTGAGAGCAAAGGAAAGCTGTGCTTTCCTCAAAGGATTTGATTAGTTTGGCCTAAGGCCAAACTAATCAAAATAATTATTAAATTTACTTGTGAAAAATAGAAAATTCAAAAATATTTATTAATAATATCAGAAAATTATTAATTAAAAAAAATATAAATATGAACAGACGAATAAATAAATTTAATAAAGATGCAACAAAACAAATATCAAAAACATCCTCAAGCTATTTAAACAAGTCGATCTTCTTTGAATTTTTCAAATCCCCCTAAACCAGTTATGAATGGTTATGTAGTTGAAAATGAAACAGAATATCTCCTTGATAAATTTAATAATTCGTTTATTAAAAATCATCAAAATAGAAATAAATTACCAGAAAATGAAAAAAAAATAGTCGAAAAGAAACAGAGAGATTTCATACTTCGATGTTTAGAATCACATGTTGACAAATTATCAGAAATTTTTGCTTATTGGGCAGCGTATTATTTAGAACAAGGTTACGGTATTGAATATACTGATGATAATGAAAAACAAAAAGATAAAAAAAGAAGTATTGAGTTGTATAAAGATGCTGCTGATAGATTACATCCCGATTCCACAGTTCGTTATGCGGTACATTTAATGTCTAATTTTAACAAAATTGATGAAGAAGAAATAAAGATTAAACATAGACAAGATATTCTTCATTATCTCCATATAGCAGCTGACCGAGGACATTCCGATGCTTACTTTTATCTGGGTGATATTTTTTGTTATGGTAAGCTTGGAGTTAATAAAGAAATAGGATTGGGAAAGGCATATTTAGAAACTGCTATTGGATCAGGTAACGAAAAAGCAAATGATAAATTAATTAAATTTATTAAAGAATCACATGAAAGCCACGCTAATTTAGAAAACGAAAATGATGATTTAAAAGATGAGATTGAGAAATTGAAAAATGAACTAGAGCAAATATTAAAAGAATGAATATATTATTTTTCTTAATTTATTAGTCAAATATGAAATTGGGTTTTTCAAATGTAAATTTATTTTCATTTGTATGATTGCTTTTTAAAGTAATTTCAGGACGATATAAATTATATATTTTATATAAAGTTTGACTACGTATTTCATTTAAAATAATTCGATACTTGATCAGATATTTATAAGACCATTTTTGCATTGTCGCCATTCTCTTTTCATATTCAATATTTTCTAAATATAAATTAGAATATATTTTACGTGATTCACCAACTATTAATATATCTGCACTCATTATAAGAAATGTTTTCCAGTGACAAATCCGATCATGAAAAAAATAAAAAAGCGCATCTGATTTATTTGATTCGTCAATACTTTTAAATATTAATTTTGAATAAAAGTCATTTTTTTCTGGAGCAAAATAATTATTTTTCGAATCTTTAATATAATAAAAATTATCTGATATATTTATACGTAATTTGGATTCTGTCACTATTTTACCTTCGAAATCTCTCATATAAAGATTTATTTTTCCGTAAGGAAGAATAATTTGTCCGGTCGCATCTTTTAAGGGAATTACGAGAAAATCATAATAATAATAATCTTGATCTTTACCGAAAGAATATTTACCGGTTTCTCTATTTAATCCTAACACCCCATTAACAGTTTTAATATAATTATATTTTGTATTCGAACCATCCTTATCAAAATTTAAAAATAGAGAAACTCTTTGTTTGTAATATATTCCGTTTGGAAATGTCATGGTCACCATTCGGTTCTCAATATACGGTGAATAAGAAATATGACCATAATAACTTGATCCTTTTAAAATTTTAAGTTGGAATATAAATCTTAAACGGTTTGCAATTTCATCTTGTGTCGCAACTTCATTATCTATAAACACACAGTGCTCGTTATTAAAATCGATCTTGTCTCTATCATCATCAACAATATTTTTTCTTGGTGATTGCTGTAAACTAGTAATTTTTCGTTCTAATCTATTATGAAGAGTTTCTTTAGGATCTTTAACCATTTTGCTTTCCAGATATTCGATTCCATCTGATACCACTTCTGTCGCAACAAGAATCGTCATTTTAACAAGTGTTTTTCCAGGAAAAACTACATCTAATAGTACCCCAATCACAACATCCAAAGCTCCATTGAGAGATTCTTCTACATCTCTATGAAATCCATACCAAACCATTTTTGAAATAGCACAGAATGTTCCGATTCCAGGAATAACTGAAAGTATACGATAATATTTTTTAAAAAATTGATCAGTCATATGTTCCGACGCGTCCATTTTAATTTAATTTTCTTTAATTTTATTCATTTAGCAATTATTTATAGTTTTACTTTCGATACAGTATTGATAAGTATTGATACTTTCGATACAGTATTGATACTTTTGATACAGTATTGATACTTTCGATACAGTATTGATACTTTCGATACAGTATTGATACTTTCGATACAGTATTGATAAGTATTGATACTTTCGATACAGTATTGATACTTTTGATACAGTATTGATACTTTTGATACAGTATTGATACTTTCGATACAGTATTGATACTTATTAATTTTAAAATAATTATTTAATAATTATAAATATTATAAAAATAGTATTTTTAACCATATCAAAATATAAAATGAATAATCATATAAAAGAATATTATCATTTTAATACTTCAATAAATAAATATTCATGTAAAAAATGTGGAAAATTTCTTAAAATTTCATCAACTAATGAGATGACAAAACATGTTGTTAAATGTTTCCAAAAAGAAATTAAAGAAATAAACGATAGTGGAATCAATAACGAAATAGCATTACATTATGATTTTGTAACTCAATTTACCAATGATAAAACTCATAAAATTTTAAAAGAATTTACAGTTGATAAAGTTACTAAAAATTTAATTTGTAACAAATGTAATCATGTTTATCCACCAAATTTACAAATATTTACCTTAAAAAAACATTTTATGGATATTCATCCTAATGACTGGAATGAAATTAAAAAAAACAATAAGAAAAGAAAAATAACCATTAAAAATAACAATAATGAAGAAAACAAAATTAAAAAATTATTAATTAAATATCATCAGGAATTATTAGAAATTAAGGACAATGAAATAAAAAATTTAAAAGAACAAATAAATAATGGTGAATTAAAATTATTAGATTTACTTATAGAAAAGGTAAAAAATCGAGAAACATTTATTAATGAATATCAAGAAATTATTAATTAAGTTTAAAAATTAAAAATTTATATTTCACCAAAATAAGGTTTTTCAAATGTAAATTTAGTTTCATTCTGATTTTTTATAATAATTTTTTGATCAGATAAATTATATATTGAATATAAACCATCTATATATTTATACGACCATTTTTGCGTTTCTTCTAAGCTCTTTTCATATTCAATGTTTTTTAAACGTAATTTATAAAAATTACGTGATTTATCTATCATATCTGAGGTCACTACAAGAAATGTTTTCTAATGATATATTCGATCATTGGCAAAATAAAAAAGTGCATCGAATTTTTTAAATTTATCTCCTCTTTTAAATACTAATTGTGAAGATGATTCATTTTTTTCTGGAACGAAATAATAATAATGATTATTTAGATTCTTAATATAAAAAAAATTATCTGCTGTATTTATCCGTAATCTAGATTCTGCTACTGTTTTATCTTCAAGATTTTTCATTATAAAAAATATTTCCCCATGAACAAGAATAGTTTTTCCAGATACCACATCTTGTAAATTTTGAAAGAAGAATTCATAATTGTAATAATCTTGATCTTTACCAAAAGAATATTTATCGGTTTCTCTATTTAATCCTAACACCCCATTAACAATTTTAATATAATTTTTTTTTGTTTTTGAAGCATCCTTATCAAAATTTAAAAATAAAGAGACTCCTCCATCATCTGAAAATGTCATGATTATCATTCGATTCTCAATATACGATGAATAAGAAATATGACCATAATAACTTGATCTTTTAAAATTTTGAAAATGAAATATAATTCTTAAACTGTTTGCAATATCATCTTGCGTCGCAACTTCATTATCTATAAACAGACAGTGCTCGTTATTAAAATCGATCTTGTCTCTATCATCATCAACAATATTTTTTCTTGATGATTGCTGTAAACTAGTAATTTTTCATTCTAATCTATGGTATAATGTTTCTTTAGGATCTTCAACCATTTTGTTTTTTAGATATTCGAATCCATTATGGTATATTGAATCTATCATAACAAGAATCGTCATTTTAACAAGTGTTTTTCCAGGAAAAACTGTATCTAATAGTACCCCAATCGGAGTGTCTGAACTCCAATCAGTTCCATGAAGTCCATACAAGATCATTTTTGAAACAGCACATAATGTTCCGATTCCAGGAATAACTGAAAGTACACGATAATATTTTTTAAAAAAATGAACAGTCATATTATCTATACTATCAGGCACAGGGGTTCCACTCATTTTAAAAAAAAAAATTATAAATATCAAGTTAATGATATTCTAAAAAATATAAAATTTCTTAAAAATTTCTTTAATGTCTTTACCCGATATTGTTTTTAATAAAATCTATCGAATTGTAGACACCGTACCATATGTCGGTACTATTTATGCAATTTCAAGAGCAGTCTGGTATGGTTTTCAAGGTGATATGAAAGAAGTTGCAATTTCTGCAGTAAACGCTATTCAAGGATCAGTAGGGGATATTCTATTATTTAGAAGAATCGCAGAACCATTCAAAATTTCAGTTATACGCACAATGGTGCAAAATGCATCGGATATGATAGTAGAAGAATCATTTTTATTTGATTGGTTAAAAAATAAAAAAGTTAATAAAGATGGTATCGATCCAAGAACCGTACTTCAAGTACTAGAAGAAAAAATTAAATTACTAGAATATAAGTTTATAGATGAAATTACCAGTGATGATAGAGACAAGATCGATTTTGACAACGAGCACTGTGTGTTTGTATCTCATGAAAATGATGAAGAAAAAAGTACAACAGAAATGTGTTTTGAAGAAATGTGGCATCGAGCAATCATACATGGATCATCATATTCGGGAGTTGTCACATATGATTCTTACATGAATAAAAATATGATTGTTATTGCATTTCCCAACGGATTAAATCTCAACACACCCGTAAATATTTTTTTACACTGGGATAAAAATTATGCAAACACACGTCAAAAATTTGTTATGGCAAACAACGGAATCTTGAAATATGATGAAGCAAAACGTCAATATCATTTTTTAAAAGGTAATGAATATTATTGGTTCAAATTTTACACAAATCCATTACGTATTAAAAATAATGTTAATGAAGATAAAACAATTCTTCAATTTGGAAAATTAAATTTATTCATTGCCGATAAATATAATAATATCGTCGCAACAACAGATTTACAAATAAACATAGCAAATAATATTCGGTATATTGTAACACATAATAAATATATTTCTGTTGAAAAAATTAATAATGAATATAAATTAGTATTAAAAAATAAAAATGTAATAGATAAATTATATTCACTTTTTTTCTTTGATGTAAACGGAAGAATAATACATTTGAAAACAGGTTTAGCATTCACATTTGATATCAACGATAAAACTTACGAAGTCAAATTAAAAAATATAAACTTTAAGAAAGATAAACAAATTTCACAACTTTGGGAAGTTGAATTTTTTAGAGATAACAATTATAGATTAAGATCTTTTGTTAGTAGTGCGGCACAAAGAATGTATTGTATTGGTGAAAATTTACAAATGTGGGATTTTGTTAATTATTTTTGGGATTTAGAAAAAGTTGATTTTATTGATGAATAATTTAAATATGTAAATAATATATAAATAATATTATTAAATAAATTTAGTAAATTAATAAAATTTCAACCCTCGACTACCCAAGATTCTCTTCCTTTATCTAATTTTTCTAGTGCTTCACACACTTTATTTCCATCATCAATTTCCTTAATTTTCTCATCACATCTTATTTTTATCTCTTCAAGCATGTTTTCTATTTCTTTCTTTGTTGGATTTCTAGTTCGAACATAATCCAAACCATTTACCAATGCTTTAATTTCATCTGTAACCAACTCAAAAACCATCTTATTATAATATAATTCAATATGTGGTTCTCGACAATCTTTAATATAACTTTGCAATCTATCTCTTGTCATAGCACCAAAAATAGAATCTAAAATTAAATCAATTCCAAAATCTAAAGCAACACCAATAACTCCACCCACTGCTAATCCAAAAATATGAGGAGCCCATCGAAATTTAAATTTAAAACTAGTAAATGGAATTCTAATATGTTCAAAATTTTTCATTAAAGCAAATTTATAAGCCAGATTACTTGCTTTAATAACTATCAAACTCTCAATAATATATTTTATAACTAAAGGAACTGTAAAATCATATTCTTTATAAATCGGTATTTTAATTTCTTCTTTCAGTTTAAAAAATTCCAAATCATCTCCAATTTTTTCTAATATTTCTTTTAATCTTTCAAGCTCAAAATCTAATTTGTCTTTTTTATCAATAAGTTCAACTGAAAACGTTCTAATATCATTTGCTAATTCGTTCACTCTTTGTAATCTGTTTTGATTATCAGGATAAAATAAAGGTTCGAAAACCCCCATCTTTGTTTCCACATCGGGATTATTTTCTAAACCTCCTTCTAACACAAATTTTTTGATTTCAGTATCAACATATTCAGAATCATTTTCGTAAATAATTTCCTTATTTTCTTCCATCATGTTAGAATGAATATCTAATATTAAGTCTATTTATATTTATTTAAATAATAATTATTTATTGAAAATATGTTATTCAACCTTCACATACCCAGGAACCTCTTTGTTCATCCATTTGTTTTAATATTTCTTCTACTTTATTATAATTAATTTCCTTAACTTTCTCAACAGATCTTTGTTCTAATAATTTAAAGATTTCATACAATTCTTCCCTTGTCAGTTTTCTAATTTTAATATATTCTAATTCACCTATAAATCCTTGAAATTCAAATATAAGCAAATCTAAAACCATTACATCATATTTCAATTCAATACGTGGTTGTAAACATTCCTAAATAAATTTTTGGAGCTTATCTCTTTTCACAGCACCCCAAATAGCACCTATCATTAAATCAAATAAACCAAAACCACCACCAAGACCAAGAGATATCGTTTGTATCCTTTCAAAAACTTTAGGAGTCCAAGAATAACTAAACCCAAAATTATCAAAAGGAATTCTAACACCCTTCCGTTTCATTAATATGAATTTATTAGCATGATTAGTTACTTTTGAAAATACTTCAATATCTAACACATATTTAATAATTTTAGAAATTGAAAAATTATATTCTTGATAAATCGGTATTGTAATTTCTTCTTTCAATTCAGGAAATCTCAATTCATCTCCAATTGAATCTAATTTTTGTTTTAAAGATTCAAAAAGAGAATTTATCATTTCTCCTTTTTCAACGATATTATACACATAAAGTTTAATATCATCTTGTAACTCATTTACTCTTCTTTCTCTCTTTTCATTGTCAGGATATAAGATATTATCAAATATTCCCATCTGTGTTTCCAAAGAAAAACAATTTCTTTATCTTTTTATTAAATTGTTTAAGTCTATTTATATTTATTTTCAATTTATATAAATAAGTCACACATCAATAAAAATTTTATTTGAATTCTTATCAAATATAGAAGATAAAGAAATTATCCCAAAGAATATTGAATCTGAAATATACAATGATGATTCTAAAACAAACCAAAAAGAAAAGTTTGTATTAGAAAGAGGTTTAGAAAATAATCCTGATTTGAAAACACAAGGAATATGGGATAATGTTCTCTTCCCTGACAATCTCAAAAGATTAAAAAGAGCAAATGAATTACAAAACGATATTAAACTATACACAGTTGAACTTACTAGAAAAAAAGAAAAATTAGATTCTTGTATTAAAACTTTAAAAGAAAAATTAGATAAGATAACAATAAAACTTGATATTCCTAAAATTCCATATATCGAAAAACAAATTTATAAAGATTCTACTTTTTGGATTCTTGGAACGATAGAATTTATTGTAGATTTTGAAATATTTCGAAGAGCTTATCATCACGCGTATAAATTTTGGGAAATTAAAATAAAAAAAACTTCAATTCCTGATATTAGTAATATAGATATAACATCTGATGATGATGTTGTTATAATCTGGGATCGTAATGAACCTCGTCCAGGCACAAGTACAAGAGTTACTCCTCAAAATCCAGAAGTTCCTGTTCGTCCAGAAATTACTGTTCCAGAAGTTCCTACCCGTCCAAAACTTCCTCCTTTGCGAGAATTATGGTTTAAATTCAAATGGAATCCAAGGGTTTTTTCTGTTGTAGTAAGCGGTTTTATTACCGTACTTGCAGCTATTGGTATTGATTTAATAGTTAGTTCATACACCGGTAGTCAAAGAAAAAAAGAAATACAAAATTATATCAACGAATGTCGAGAACCACGTGTCGAAATATATCATGATATTATGGTTTTAGATTTTCTTATAGATCAAATTAAAGCATTTATAATGGCAATAGATTTAATGACTGGAATTTCAGAAGCACAATTAGAAAACATGTTTGAAACCCTTCAAAATAAATGTAATGAAGAAATTAAGAAAATCGACGATTATGTAAAAGCAGAAGAAATATTAAAACAAATGGATAAAGAAAGAGGCTCGTGGGTAAACGAAGGATAAATAATTTTAATTTATTTTATTATATTTTTATAATGAAACTGTGTATTTTAGTAATTAAGATTCCAAAATTAAATATATAAATACTAGAATATTTAGCAAATTATTGTTTGCTTGATTTATGAAATATTTTATTATTCATTTATAACTATTCTTTTTTGAATATATTCTTTTATGTTTACAAGGTTTTGATATTC